GCTTCATCTGGTTCCCAAAAATTAAAAAGTGTTGGACAGAAAAAATAACATACCTGTCTAACGAGGTATTGAAAGACCCCTTTTTCTATTCAAAAAAAGTTGTAGCGTCCTCTCTAATTACGTTCCTATAAAATATCATCAGGATGAAGTACATCAATGATTGTATTATTCGGTATATTCGTATTCCATACAAGACTTTAGGAATTAGAACTGGCTCCTTGTAAATTTACAATCTTTGTTGAGAAATTATTGCTTCAAGTTTTGTAGGTTCAGCTTCCCATAAGTTAGAAAGTCGAGTTGAATTAAAATAAAGAAAATAAAAAAGCAATAGAGAAATTAAAACAACCAACATTGAACACCAGCAGTGTTGTCTTATGCAAAACAACCTGCAGAATAAAAAATCATAATTAATTTTCCTCATCTACGATCTTATACTTATTCGCTAGTTTTCAAATAACATATATTACATTTATGACCCTTGGCATGGGGTCGATACGTACCTTGGGCGTTACAGAAGAGACTCGAGTAAAAATCGCTGAGAAATGACTTGTGTGCAAGTTGTTAGAACAGGCATTTGAAATGAATATAATGTACCGTGAAAGTTATTTCATTCGGTTTTATTAGTTGTTATTTTATACTACGTGGTCTGATATTACTTGATTGGAATCTGTGGGAAATATAAGATTCTGACATCAAGTCAGTTTACTTCAGACATAACACAAAAACAGGTGTATATCGTAAAAATATAATTTGAAATGAACTCGGTTGTTAAGTAACAAGCGTGTAACTAGTTTCTCAACAAATTCAAACAGGTGAGTCAGATACAAGCCAGAGGGACACGGATAATATTAATAGGTACTGAACTTACAAACATTTAATGCAAGCACACAAGAATAAGTGGAATTACTATTCACTGTTAAATTCACATTAGTCTTTATATTCATTTCCTCATACGAAATATTCCAAATGTCTCCATAACTTTTAGAAACAACAACATAAGTTTGAAATTCAAAACAGCATAGATCCGTATAGAGATGTCTATAACTGAATTCGTCTCAAGGATCCAATAAATTCAAGACATCGTCAGAACACTTAGTGACACGACTATGGTCAAACTTAAACCAGTCCGATTCATCTTTGACCAATGCGTTATAATGACCAGATTCAACTAGAGAACCACAGTGAACAATGACTGTATGAAGATTATAATAGTGGTCTGCTATATTGAAGTGTTCATCTATTTCGAGCGTTCGTAAGAGCTTGGTACTTCGGTAAGGGGTTGAGTCATGTTTGAAGATCATCAGTGTTATTATTAGATTGACAGGTGCCTCAGCTATACTTGTTTTCTTATAATAGAAATAGATGAACACTTCAATCTAGCAGACCACTATTATAATCTTCATGCAATTATTGTTGACTGTGGTTCTGGCGTTGAATCAGGTCATTATTACGCATTGGTCGAAGATGAAACAGACTGGTTTAAGTTTAACGATAATCGTGTCACTAAGTGTTCTGGCGATGTCTTCAATTTATTGGAGCCTCTGGGGACATCCTACATTTTGTTTTATGAGAAAGAGGACATTGGCAGATCAAGATCTTCAGATGATGTGGTACTACAGGTTTTTCCGAGTTTTCCTGCAGCTGAAAAAGCGGAATCGATGAAGTCGCCCCGGAGCGCCAATTAATTTTTCTTGTTGTTTCATAATTTCATGATTTGTATGAATTAAATAAATAACGTGTCTTTTTCGATGAAAAAAAATTCGTCACGATAGTTAAGTATCTAGGTGATCAGGAACAATTCAATTGTTCAAAAACTACCGAAATATAATCAACATATAATATTTTCTAATATTCCAAAGTAATACCTAAAAAAATGGAAAGACCTACAGATGAAATACCGAAATTCTGGTCAAGCAACGTCCAAAGTCAAATAATTAGGAGAAAGATATCTAGAACGAATTAGAGACTGGTTTGTCCATGAGCAACTTTCTTTGAATTTTATTTCAATCTGATAATAATATAAAATGCTTCTGAAATACTCCCAGCAACTCAAGTAAAGTTTTTGGGTGCCATACTGAATCAACATTTGAGGTGGGACTTCTTTATTCATTGTGAGAAAGCGAAGAAGACGAGGTATATAAATCACATCAAATGAAAAACGACTTAATATGTTTTGGTTAGTTTCCTGGTTTTGCTGTGGTCTTCTTTGATTACAGTCTCCAAACGTTTCAACTGCGGCAGTCATCTTCATTGGCATGGTCAAAGTACTCTTCTTGACGTGTCAACTGTCGCAGCTTCGGAATTTTGAATATACAGTTTAGCAGAGATATGAACGTATTGTGTGAGATGTCCAACCTTTCTAGCGATACCATTTCTTCACACTCGTCTGGCAGTTTTCACATTTGATTGAGTGACAGATTCAGATTGGATGTGAGATTGAATATCGTGGCAAACTTTGGAGGTATTTTGGTGATAACATTGTCGCTGAGATCACAGGATTTCAGTTCTATATGCCTCATCAGGTGGTAGACTGCTTCTGGTACTTGCATTAGTTGACATTTCGATAGATCTGAAAAAAATAAGATAATTGGTAAAAGTTAACTCTTATTTGAGATATATTTTCGTACTCGAGTCTTCAATGAACGATCAGATATTTTCTTCGTTGGTTTGAAGACGTTGTTAATTTTTTCTTTCTTTAGAATTTTCCCGATTTGGTTGGTGACACCTTCTATGTATGACAGATAGACACTGCCTTAGGGTTGCTGTTCACTGGTGTTGCTCTTCTTCTTCCTTGGACGTGTAGCGTTAGCTTGTAACACAGTTGTTAGATATTTTATTTCGTCGTCGACGTACCTTTCTTCACAAATTCTCAAAGCTCTATTCCCTGGGGTGTTGATGACGGTTCGTTTCTGTTTTGGATGATGAGTGAATCCATTATGTAGGTATCGATTTTATGACCAAAACATGAAGGAATGGGATTCAGAGGTTTTTTCTAATTCCATGCAAAACATTGACGCCAGCCGTAAAAGCTTATATTTCTATATAAAGACTTGATATTAAACAAAAAAGATTATCTTTTATAAATTGATACAAGGTCACTTAATATACTCATTGTATGATGGGACAAAGTTTCGAGCTGTGTTGTAAGGCTCAATGTATTTCTGTTGATAATACTCAAGAAAGGTCAATGCAGTCAAGTTACTGGAGAATAATTCCGTAAAAATGAAAACATTAATAGATGTATACTATTCCGATCATTCACAATTTCGATACTCACCGGTATAGTTCAAGTAAACGATATAGTGCCCCCTACCTTCCAGCAGTTCCTCTTTAATAAAATAGTTAGGGAGCTAACTAATTTTGTTATTCAATAACGATTTCTGATTATATAAGAATCACAATAACTTATATATGTGGTTGAACCCCCTATAGGAAGGGTAGATGTTACCCTTAGAATTTCAAATGGGAAGGGG